CTACGGTCTATTTAAACTGACCAGTGTAACCTTTTATATGTTTGGTTGACTGTATTTTATTTTGATAATGAACAGATTGCGATGTAAGTTTGAATTGCTAGAATATGTGGGGTGTGTGCGTGCGAGGCGCCAGTGCGATCTAACAGCTGAAACATAAAAAACTCCATTTTTGGAGTAAGATATAATCCGCAAAAGTGTTTTACTTTTATTTTTGCACACTCACAATAAAAACAGAAGATTTGTGCTTTTGTAAAATAAAGCAAACAAACAGAATGCGCATTGTCATCCTCTCCGTTCGTGAACTTGTTTATGGAGCGCCGTGCCACACTTCTGTTTTAAATCTGTTAGCTTAATTATTTAAGTCAGATATATTTCGCTTTTTTTTTTTTTTTTATGAAAACAAATTATTTTTAATTTTTAATTATTTATAAAATATTTTTATTTAGGTTGCATCTCTTACTGTGGTAAACATGCGGAAGGGAAATTAAAGATTTCGCCATGAATTAAGAATTCGTTCAATGTATTCATTTGTTCCCTCATTTTAGCTAAATCATGGGTTATTTAAGGAACAAAATTAATGAAACTTCGGCAGTGGCCACAAATTAATAAGTCATAGGAACGAATTAACAAGTTGTAAGAATGAATAGCCTATCCTTCCCCCGCAGTGTCCCGCAGCCCTGCAACCTTCACCTAATTGTTTCAAATATGAAACAATTATCTGGGGAAATGACTGTTACTACATTTCTATTGCTTTCCATGTTGAAGAACTTTGTGTTGTTTCTATTTTAATGTACTTTTAAAGTTTAAATCACATTAAAAGCTTAATTTGTAATTATGAGTGAATGATGATGCATTTATATACCGTCACTCACAGCCGCTCGCACGTGTTTTGCGCATGAGCCGCACGCAGCCCAAAATTAAACGACTTAATCGACCATCGATAGCTTTAATCGAGTGCATCTCTTATCGACAATTAATCGACCATCGATTAATCGTTGACATCCCTATTGCATACAATTATATTATTAAATCACCAATTTGCCTGTGGCTCTGGATTACAGGTAAAAAATGATCGGTTTCTTGCACAGACTGATCGTTTCGCTTCTTAAGACCTCAATATATCGTCAGGAGTCATGGGTATTCATTTGGTGTTGCCTGATATGCTTTATTTGACTCTCAACCTCTGACTTTTATAAATGTATGAATCACCAAGGACCACGGTTTCAGCTAAAAATATTCCTTACTGTTCTACTAAAGAAAAAGTCACCTACATCTTGGATGGCCTGCGAGCGAGTAAAATTAACAGGAAATTGTCATTTTTGGGTGAACTGTCCCTTTAAATCTGGGTCTGCTGGTCAATAAATAATGGCAGAAATGTCATTTTTGTATGATCTGTTCATCTCACCTGGGATGAGTTGTGCATATGTCAGACTGACGTAAAGAACACTGATGAGAATCTTATCAGCCAATGGATCCAGAGCGCTGCCCAGAGCCGACTTCTGATTGGGCCAGTTACGTGCGATGTAGCCGTCCAACTGAAAGAGAAACCAATGATCAATAAAACAACATCAGCTTAAAGACAGGTTATTAAGCCTAAAATAAAATGATCAAGCACCACAGATAATGTTTTCTTTGATTTACCAAGTCGGTTGCTCCGGCCAGTGCAAAAAGCCCCAGAGAGACGTGGAAGTACTGCTCCATGACTAAGTATCCCAGGACAGGAGACAGAACGATCCGGGCAATACAGAGGTAATTAGGGATCGTCCATGGATTCTCATACTGTGAATAAATGACATTACATGACATTATGAATATGCAAGAGGAAAAAGTATTTTATTCACACTTTCCTTTGGCAAGAGAAATAAGAAAGCACATTTGATTTCATGTAAAGAAAAACAGATATTCTTTATCAGTATTTTTGCCGTTTTCCAATACAAATATCTAGACAATCATGTTAACTATGAACACGATCCACTAGTGTTTGACAACCACAAAGTGAAACAATAACTTAATCTAACACTTAATTTGTTGATTTATCATTGCAAACTGTACAAACTCTTTGTCAAATATTTTGTTCATCAAGTGTGCATCTTTCACTGCAAAAAAATGCAAAATGACAAAATACAAAGTCTTGTTTTATGAAAAATACATCAAAATTAAGCAGGTTTATTCTTTTTTAAAAATCTGTCAGCGGGGTGAGAAAAATATACTATCAATTATACATTGCATATATAAAATATATACAATTTTGTACAAAAAAGTAAGAAAATTATATTTGCAGTAAAGGTCGCAAACAAAAATACTTGCCAAAAAGACATTTTTGTGATTCAAAATGATAAATCAATAGATCCAGTGTTGAAAATAAAGACAAAAAGTAACTAAAATTGCCTAATTTAAATTAATTCTATTTAGTAAACCCATTAAAAGTATTTATATTTGCAGAAAAAAAGTTTTTCTTACTACACTGTTATATGTATTATTTATTTGCTTATTTTAACCAATTTGTATTGTTTATGTTATATTGAAATATTACATTTTATTATGGTTCATTTATTTTAATGCAATTATTTATGCATTTAATTTTATTTATTTAAATGTTTTTTATCATTTATTTATTTACATTTAAATAAATCTATTTTCTGATTTGTACACAGTTCTTCTCTGAACTTGTGGCCCCTGTTTGAAAACCCTTGCTGTAATTTACTTAGACCCAAGGTCAAAACAAGAGTGAAAAAGAGTGTACAAGTTTCAATAATAAGCCTGATTCACTCACCAGCTCTTTCAACTGGAAATGTCCCTCATTAGCTGCAGGTGAAGAGGCTGCTTGATCTTCACCCTTTTCAGAAGACTTTTTTTCCAAAACTGGCTTTCTAGACGCTTCAGTACAAAACCCATTTGCACCATACACGCTAGACAGCGGCAGGTGCAGCCTGCAGTGATGTTTAGATACTTTTGCTCTACATATAACAGAGCAGAGATGTTCTGATCTCTGATTGACTTCTCTATGAAGGTCCAGATCTGGTCTACAGCTCAGAGGTGAGGAGCTCCAGCATCTGGTCTTCAGTCTCTGAAGCCATTGTTGCTGTGATGTAGTGTTTTTCAGCGGTAAGTTTGCCTTTGTTTTGTCATGGCAGCTGTAGTGGCAGGTGGCAGCAGTGCTGACAGTCAGTCTGTGTGTGTGTCCTTTAGCACAGCTCAACCAGCTCTTGCTACAAGCCGGCAAAAACATGTCAGCGGCTTTATCTCAACAAAACTAGATGATAGATAACCCCGAACTGTCTAACCGAGCATCCAGCAGCATATTTCCAACTTAATTCGTTCATTTTACTCTTTGTCTATTTGAGACATTCATATCTGTCGACCCACATGTTCCTGTCCTGCCGTGTTCCGATCTAAATATTTACGACAGTTGCCAAAAGGGGGCGGGGAATTAAAGGGGACGCGCTCTAATATGATATGCAAAAAAATAAATGAAATTAACATCTCATTGCGACATATTACGTGATATAATATATTTGTTGATGTTGGTGGTAGCGCATACCAATTTACCACATTTTTACTGTAGTAAAACATCTCTAGCGTTGTAAAGGTGCATCTTTAATTGTAACACTGTAACTGCAATTCAGTTTATCAGCTAATAAATATAATTAAACCATTAGAATAATATATAATTTATTAGCTAATAAAAGCAATATTAAATGTCATAATAGTTAAATAGTAATTAACATAGGATCTCCTGCCAACGGTTAAAGAAACATTTTAGTATCTATCATTTTGATAGATTTAAAATCAAAATGTATTTAGATGGCTTTGTACAATTTTTTTTAAGGAACACAGCATTCATATGCATTTGAATGTTCTTTTATTTTTCATCTATTGCAGTTAAATTTATCAGCTGCACACGTGTAGGTTCGTGTGCGGTTATTTTACTGCTACCGATAATAGTATAAACAGACTTAAACGTTCAATATTGAACTCAGAAGAATCTACTGAAAGGACACAGCTGACATCATAAAATACAAAACTACTTAAACATTGTTTTAAATGTTCATAAATGTGGTTACCGTTTGATTATATACAGGAAAATACTATTTAAAACAATTACGAGTCTATTTATGTACATGAAAACAATGTACAGTTAATAACATGAAAATACTGAAGCATTTGTGTAAACATACATTACACTATGTTATAAATATAATATCTGTTGTTGCATTAGAAAACAAACACAACAGTATGACACAATAAGAGTGTAAAACATCATAAGAGATGGCTGATTCATATGGTTTGAAGCTGATAGGTCCTGTGCCCTTTCTTCAGAAGGTAACCCTGCTCATTGAGTGCACCGATGAAGCCCTCAAAATCCACAACCTGAGAAAGCAGAAGTGGAAAGAGCATTAAAAATCATCATCTGAAAGCATGCTATTTAATGTAGCTGATGTTCACCTGTATTTGCAGATCTTTGGCGAGCTGGCGTAGCTCCTGGAACTCAAACATGCTTTTGTTTGTGCGTTCTGCGAGTCTGTTTAACGCCGTGACAAATGTCTTGACTTTGGAGCGGTTACTCATCCCAGAGCCCAGCTGAGAGCAGTTAAAATCCAGACGGCCAAACTCATCAGAGTAAGTGTCGGCCAAGCTGAACGTAGAAGAACATGAACGCTTTTTGTTGCATGAAAGAATAATTAACCATTTTTATCAATTAAACAATTGAGGAAATATAATCCGAGAAAAATGTTTTTTTATTTTTTATTGAGGATGTACAGGTAGATAAAACACAGAGACGGCAATGAAAACACAATTAGTACCATGCAAAAATTAATATTTTTTTACATTAAATTATACATTGAACTTTTTTTCATGGGGACTTTCATGGTGTGTTGTGATCGTTACTTAATAATGCAAATTAATTTAGACCCATATAACTATATAAAGTGCCGTGTTTATGAGTCACCTGTGTTTCATGATCTCCATAACATCCTCCGCATCACTTTGCGTAGCTTTTTCTCTGAGCTCAACACGAGCTCTGGCCTGCAGAGAAAGAGAAAAAAAAATGTGACTGTCATTCAGAGACCCTGAATTTATTATTTAGACCCCATGAAATCAAAATGTTATTTATTGATCAGACCTTTAGTGCATGTCTATAGAAAATTGACCAAAAATATTAACACCGTTTGGAATTAAGATCTTTTTTTAATGTTTTTAAAGATGTCTCTTATGCTGACCAGGGCTGCATTTGATTATTTGATAAGAATTTTTTACTCATTTACAACACAATCAAATTTAATATGCTCCCTTATTCTTTTATATATTTTAATATGTACACATCAGAATAAGCATGTTGTTTGAATTTTTACATAAATATTGTGTTACACTGAATGACAAAGTAACATTATTTCAACCAAATTGTGACATTTTATTCTCCAAAAACTTATTGAAACCTTAAAAGTAGACACTTTACTTACATTTAATGTGCTTTCTATGGACATAAAATCACTTTTGTACATTTCTTTTGATGCGGACATCTTAACGTCTTTGACCCATTAACATAGGAAAAAAAGTAATTTAAAATTGTTAAACTATTTCAGGTTTTTTCCTGTATTTTCCACCTCTGTGAGTCGGATGAGGGACTCCAGCTGGCGGGTGGTGATGGGCGTGCTGTCGGCCGTCTGGTTCTGTTTGCGCAGCTCCAGATAGAAGTCCTGCAGCACCTGCGCAGCCTCTGCAGAGAGAGTGGGGTGAACGTAGTGCCGGGCGTAACCCACGTACTTCCGCAGGAGCTGGTGAGGGATGGGGTCAAAGGCCTCTCCAGGAACCACCTACAGACAAAAACAGAGAAATCAACATTAGTATAGCTGTAATTTACTGTACATTACAAACAAGTAGAAACAGATGTGTTACTACAAATATTGTACAGCATGAATTTAGTCAATAATCCACATGATGTTTATAAGATCAGTAGCTGTTGTACAGCTACTATTACATCAAACAGGTGTAATAGTAATAGAGATACTTGTTTAAACTATGTTAGGTAGTAAAACTACAATACATTTCTTAACATTAGTAGTGCATTATCTAACATAAATTTACAATAAACAATATTTAACAGCATTTATTAATCGGTAATTTATTTTTTAAAAAATGCTATTTTATTAGTCAAGAATATAATTGTTCATTGCTTATGCTAATGGATAGTGCATTCACTAATGTTAACAGAGACAACTTTTGACTTAAAAAAAATATCACTAAGAGTAATAAATGTTATCAAAGTATTGTTCATTGTTAATAAAGTACTGTGGTTAAGGAAACCTTATTGTAAAGTGTTACCATGAGTTTATAAATGGATAAACTAAATCAAATTAAATAAATAAGCTGAAATGATGCTTAACAGATCAGTTGTTACACATTCAAGTATGTATGAGCAATGGTAAAAGTGATCATTGCAAATGCCCCTAATGTTAGTTAATTTTATTAATAATAGCTATTATAAAGTTGTTAGTTAATAAACATACAACTAATACAACTAATAAAAAGATACAACTTTTGATTTTAATAACGCATTTAGTAAATGTTCAAATGAACATTAATTGAGATAAATAAATGCTTTAAAACTGTTTTTCGTTGTTAGTTCATGTCAGTTCAGGCCCATTAACTAATATTAACAGAAACAACTTTTGATTGTATTTGTGACCCTGGATCATATACAGATTTATACACCTTCTCAAAGCTGAATAAATAAGCTTTCAATTGATGTATGGTTTGTTAGGATAGCGCAATATTTGGCCGAGATACAACTATTTGAAAATCTGGAATCTGAGGGTGCAAAAAAAATCTAAATATTGAGAAAATTGCATTTAAAGTTGTCCAAATGAAGTTCTTAGCAATGCATATTACTAATCAAAAAATAAGTTTTAATATATTTACAGTAGGAAATTTACAAAATATCTTCATGGAACATGATCTTTACTTAATATCCTAATGATTTTTGGCATAAAAGAAAAATCTATAATTTTGACTAGGGCTGCACGATAAATCGCATGCGATATTTAATGCGCATCTTGTCAGAAAGCCGGTTCTGTAATCAGCGGTAAATCTCCATCACCTGCGGGCTTTCACATTGAGCAGCATTAACTACACAGAGCCGTTGTTCACTGACGAGCTGCGCAAAAAATCGCGCGAATATGAACGTGGTTTTGCGCAGCTCGTCAGTGAACAACGGCTCTGTGTAGTTAATGCTGCTCAATGTGAAAGCACGCAGGTGATGGAGATTTACCGCTGATTACAGAACCGTCTTTACTGATAAGATGCGCGTTAAATATCGCATGCGATTTATCGTGCAGCCCTAATTTTGACCCATACGATGTATTTTTGGCTATTGCTACAAATATACCCCAGCGACTTAAAACTGCTTTTGTGCTCCAGGGACACATTTAGTGAACACTGAAACTAGCTTTATGCTTAAAAACAATTTTTTCATTGTTTGTTAATGTTAACTAACTTTAATAAATGGAAACTTATTGTTAAGTGTTATGATAAAGCGTTTTCAGTGGAATTGGTTAAGAACTAAAATCATGAACTAAGTGAAATGGCATTACTTTGAGTGTGTCTGCGAGGGGTTTCTCTGAGAACACCTCCAGAATGGAGATGCTGGACTCCTGTGTGCTGTAGCGTGTGACCGCAGCACTGCTGACCGCACCATTTTTTCCTGCGCGCATGGCCATCACGTGTTCGGACAGCAGGTGGTCATGGTCCTCATTAGGGGTGTCCAACAAGATGAAGACCAGATCGAACCTGGACAGCAGCGCACTTCCCATTCTAGAGGGACACAGGCAACACTTTTAACACCGAAGGCATGTTATGGAAGCAGAATAGCCAAAAAAACAATGACTTTGCCTGTAGTGTCTTGTTTAAGCACATCAATCTGATGTTCAATGTTGTAAAACAGACAAAACACGCATATCAATTATTAGACTTATAAACTATGTTACTTGGCAGAAGAAGCGTTGATTATTAATTCACTGAACATTATCATATCAGGCTTATTGGTCATACTTTACAGTGGTTTACAACTGTATTTGTTGCTTATTGCTGTATCTTTAATCCACTGTATAATCCAGGTCTTTAGTAGTATATTTAGTAGTGGTAAAAATCATTAGTAGTATCTCACTCTGGCATACAGTACACTCACTTCAGGTTCTCAGAGACAGTCTTGGCTTTATTGTAATGTCCTCCGACTGGATTGGCCGCTGCGATGATGGAGGTTCGAGCAGGAAGTGTGCAGACAATCCCAGCTTTAGCCAGACTGATGCTCTGCTGCTCCATGGCTTCCAGAAGAGCCTAATGCTGGCTGCCCATCTTATCAAACTCATCGATACAACAGATACCTGGTGAAAATATTTAATATTAAA